TTAATGTATAGTAAATTATAGCTCCTTTGCATATTGTAGACGTTTGCAATTATTAATGTCGAGTTTAACTATTTACATATATTAATCCAATTACATTTACATATACCTGTTTATTATTTTCTCAGTATTTGTTTGTTATTTGGCGTTTGTTTAGCTCTGATGATCGTCTGAAACTTAGTTCGAAAAATTGGCACAAAGAAAATGAACATAATTTATAACAAAGACTTGGAGCGATTGACCAATGGAACAATCCCCAACAAAATTTTAAAAAAAGTTTCTAATCGAAATATGCGATTTAATGAAAGTTGTCTGATGGTTGGTCTCTTGAGCATAACTACACTGATGTATTGAGTGAAAGTTAACAAGCCCATATTACTCCTATATCTGCAATCGTTTAAAGAAGATTTTCGGTTCCCACAAAATTGCCAACACTTACCCGAAGAGCTATAACTCCCCGGATAAGGGATAGTCTCCCATCTTCGGGGATATTAGTAGGGGAGTAATGTATTACAAGTATTAGCCTAAGAGACGGTCGTGCAAGAGGCACTGCATTAAGCCCGACTCAAAACTAGCCATAAAGTTGGAGATTTCGTGTTCACGAACCCACACGTTACTATCCTGCCCATTATTGCCTAATCATTTAATCATTTCTACCAGCTTTATCCCCGCTCAATCCCAAGTTTGGCCTTTATATATATATATATTTAACTGATTTATAATTCATTTTGAATTTAATTTATTCGTTTCACTGACGATTCATTTTTCGACCTTTAACGAGAGAATTTTCTGAATACTGAGAGTTTCTGTCCTTAATACACAGTTTTTTAAAAATTATATTTATACATACATTTAAAATAGTATTATATATATATATAATTGAGTTTTTTATAAGAGGTTTGATTTTTATTTTATTTTTTTTATTTATTTTTTATTTGTTTATAGATGTCGTATACAGAGTACAGAAACCTTTTTATTAAGTTATTAACATCCGTATGAAAGATAATGGAAGTTATTCGTCTTACCTTAAACTTTTTTAATTACAAATATTCTCGGAAATCGGCGCTTTCAATATGGATATCGATACGCTTTTTCTATTAAATTATTCATTAAATAAGGCATAAGACATCGAGAAAAAAGATGGGCTGCAAAAATTTTGGTTCGTTTGATCTCACCTTCATCCCTATCATTTGAAAATACCGGGGATATATAAGCAAAACGAAGACACATTTTTTCTCGATTTTGTGATCAAATCACCTTAAGATTTAATCAGATAGAATTTTTAGTATATCATTAAATAAATTAATTTAATGAGAAAATGCCTCCTGATAATTTTTGTAAATAAAATAAGTTGTAGTTAAATAAGATAGTTAACCGCAGTCAGTAAAACATCTGTTAGTAGAGTGCAACGAGTTCAAAAACATTCGGCAAAAATTGAAACTACCAATGACAATGGAAGAAATATTAAGAGACAACGAAGCCGGAATCACCACCCTATTCCGGTACTTGACAGATACAAAATACTACTATAGAGTATAAAAAACTAGCCGTCAATGACCCTCTAGGGTAGAGGCTATTACAAATAAAAAAAAAAAAAAAAAAAATCAGAAATAATTTTTGTATTCTTTAAATCAGCCGCCATTTTTGAAAACAGCAGCTCTGGAACGGCAAATAAGGTTCTTTTTACTAAGAATAATATATACATTCGTAATTTATAATCAAACCTTCATTAGCGATCAGGTTTTTTTTGGGCCCTAGCTCCAGGGCTAAAAGTTCATAAATATTTGTGAATTTACATTAGGGGTATTCCATACACTTATTGTTAATGCTTAATAAGTTATCATGCAAAGTAATCAGCACTAATTTTGAATGAACGGTAAATAACCTGTCTGTGATGTAATATGCCTGTAATGTAAACAATGTTTGTGCGTTCTTAATTGATTTACTAACTTTTTGATTTATCTATATGTGCTTGTTTTAGGTGAAAATTTTCTAATATCATAAAATGACGCTCTTTATTTTTTTACCATATTTATTTTAATTTTCATGGAAGCCATTATATCGAACCATGCTTTTTGCATGTAGTCCAAAGTCTGATTGAATCAGAAAGGATGAATCAGATTGAATACGGCTTACCGGCCGAAACGTAGCTATGAACATTAAAATAAATATGGTGAAAAATAAACAGAGCGTTATTTTGTAAGTTTTGATTTATTTTATAATGTCAAAGCGAAGTGAAAGGATTGCTGGAATATTTGGTTAAAAGTGCTTTATTATAAAGTATGAATGAAGATCCAGATGATTCAGAGGCAAAGAACTTGATGAATACATAGATGAAATCCTAGCTGTATTTACTAGTGTTGCCCAAATGTGAGACCGAGACCAGTCTTGGTCTTGCAAACTCAGTCTTTATAGTTGTATAATTTAGTATTTATTTGACAGCGTCCCCCGATCAACTCCTTCTCATATAATTAATAACTCTTTAGCACGCAGGCAGGTTATTTACCGTTCATTTAAAATTAGTGCTAATTACATAGCATGACAGCACATTAAGCATTGACAATAAGTGTATGAATACCCCTAATGTAAATTCGTGAAATTATTCTACAATAGAGGTATTCATGCAACCAGTGCTAAGTCTTGTAGACCTCTTAAATGTGTAAAGTCCAGAAAATTATTTAAGAAATGTATGCTAAATATTGCTGTTAGCATTTTCTATTTTAAAACAGCCCAGGATCCTGTAAAGTGTTGCTAACTACGTAAACAGACGGAGAAGGTAATTGTAAGGATTTCATGAGTTTGATTCTTTGTATTTTATGTTTACAATAACTACAGAAATGTAATGTGAAGATAGCTAGGTATGTATTCAAGTTCTTTGACATCTGAATCATCTAAATCTTCATTCATGCTTTCGAATAAAGCATTTTTAATCAAATATTCCAGCAACTCAGTCTTTTCACCTCTCTTAGGCATTATAAAATAAATCGATAAAAATAGAATAAAACGTTGGTAAATCAATTAAGAACGTTCAAACATTGTTTACAGTACAGGTATAAACTTACTATAATTAATAACTATTAATTATAGTAAGTTTAGCACGTCAGCACAGACAGGTTATTTACCGCTCATTCAACATTTGTGCTAATAATTGAGCATGGAAGTACATTAAGCATTAACAATAAGTGTATGGAATACCCCTTATGTAAATTTAGAAATATTTGTAAATGAACTTTTAGCCCTGGTGCCAAAAATCGACCTGATCGCAGGCGAAGGTTTGATTGTAAATTACGAATGTGTATGTTATTCTGAGTAAAAAGAACCTTCTCTGTCGTTGCAGAGCCGCTACTTTAAAAAATGGCGGCTGATTTAAAGAATACAAAAAATTATTTCTGATTTTTTTTATTTTTTATTTGTAATCGCCTCTACCCTAGAGGGTCGTTGGCGGCTAGTTTTCTATACTCTATTGTAATATTTTGTATCTATTAAGTATAGGAATAGTGACTCCATCTTCGTTGTCTCTCAATATTTCTTTCATTTTTATTGGTAGTTTAAATTTTTGCCGAATGTTTTTGAACTCGTTGTACTCTACTAACAGATGTTTTACTGACTGCGGTTAACTATTTTATTTAACTACAACTTATTTTATTTACAAAAATTATCAGGAGGCATTTTCTCATTAAATTAATTAATTTAATGATATACTAAAAATTCTATCTGCTTAAATCTTAAGGTGATTTGATCACAAAATCGAGAAAAAATGTGTCTTCGTTTTGCTTATATATCCCCGGTATTTTCAAATGATGGTTATGGAGGTGAGATCAAACGAACCAAAATTATTGCAGGCCACCATTTTTCTCGATATTTTATGCCTTATTTAATGACTAATTTAATAGAAAAAGTTTATCGATATCCATATTGAAAGCGCCGATTTCCGAGAATATTTGTAATTAAAAAAATTTAAGATAAGACGAATAACTTCCATTATCTTTCATACGGATGTTAATAACTTAATAAAAAGGTTTCTGTACTCTGCATACGACATCTATAAACAAATAAAAAATAAATAAAAAAAATAAAATAAAAATCAAACCTCTTATAAAAAACTCAATTATATATATATATATAATACTATTTTAAATGTATGTATAAATATAATTTTTAAAAAACTGTGTATTAAGGACAGAAACTCTCAGTATTCAGAAAATTCGCTCGTTAAAGGTAGAAAAATTTAAAAAATGGCGGCTGATTTAAAGAATACAAAAAATTATTTCTGATTTTTTTTATTTTTTAATTGTAATCGCCTCTACCCTAGAGGGTCATTGGCGGCTAGTTTTCTATACTCTATTGTAATATTTTGTATCTATTAAGTATAGGAATAGGGGAGTGACTCCATCTTCGTTATCTCTCAATATTTCTTTCATTTTTATTGGTAGTTTGAAATGTTTGAACACTCTACTAACAGATGTTTTACTTACGGCAGTTTATTGTCACACTTTTGGCACGTGGGTGCTTCTAGTCCTCTGAGAAAGTACTCATGAGTAAACAGGCAGTGATTTCTGAATTTACATTAGGTGTACTTAATAGATATACTTAATAGATACGAAATACTACTCTAGAGTATAGAAAACTAGCTGCCAATGACGCTCTAGGGTAGAAAAAAATTCAGAAATAATTTTTGTATATGAACTTTGATTCTAGTTACATGTAGGACGGTCGAAATAATACAGGGCTTTGCCTGCGTTGGGTTCTGCCCGCATCAAAGGAGCTGTCACCCACTGAATGGGCAAAAGGGGGCGAGCTCTGGGGGTGAGGTTGAGGCGGCAACCGCCTTCACCAGAGGCCGGAGTATCGGGGCCGGATCAGCCCTACACCGGCGGAGCATTCGGATCATTGAGGACACGAGAGGATGATGATGTTTCCATAAGAGATGTTAATACAGACAGAGCCTCCGGGCGAGGCCTGGAGGGGATGGTGGAGGGGGCAGGAGCGGGCCGCAGTCTGCCGGCCGATGGAGAGCGAGCTGGGTCGGGTGGTGCTGGGCCTCCAGAGCGCGGTGGTGAGCTCGCTGCAGCAGGCGGCGCTGCTGCCCCCCGCCAGCCCCCAGGCGGCCGCCCTCAGCCTCCAGGCCCTGGAGTCCTACCTCGCGCTCCAGCGGCTGTCCGTGGTCCAGGAGCAGGGCGGCCTGCGGCAGGCCAAGGCCAGGCCCAGGAAGCAGTTCATCTGCAAGTTCTGCAGCAGGCAGTTCACCAAGTCCTACAACCTCCTCATCCACGAGAGGACGCACACCGACGAGAGGCCGTACTCCTGCGACATCTGCGGCAAGGCCTTCAGGCGGCAGGACCATCTCAGGGACCACAGGTAATCTATCTCACTATCTTGAAATCACTGATAATATTAACTAAACCCCTAATAAATTATTAACATCTGTCAAAAACTTTGAAAATGACATCTTATCAGAACGTATAACTTCTTCATTAGTTAACACGCACTAATATTTACAAGTTAAAACGTTGTCTGTGCTGACGTGCTAATTATTATTAATTATATGAGAAGGAGTTGAACGGGGGGGAGGGGAAGAAAGGAGAGCAGAGGGAGAGGGGGGTGCGGTGAAATAAATACTAAATTATACAAATAGTATTGTTTAATTTTTTTTTTACCCCACTTTACAGGTCTTCAAAAGATACAAAACAAGTGAAAATAAAATAAATGAATATAAGTAGGTATAAAATAACAAGAAATTGTCTGATAAAGAAATAAAAAGATGATATCAGAGATATAGTAGGCGACAATGTAGTTAAATATCAAGTATTATATATATAGAAGATACAGACAAATATGGAAAACAAGTATGAATGAAAAATTTTCCACTTCAATCGTAAGATAATTAGACCTAGTGTTGCCCAAACTCACTCTTGGTCATAATCTTGGTCTTGCGCAAGAGTCTTGCAGTCACACGTTAGCTTATTATAGCACAGTACTATATTACTATAATTTTTTAGATAAGAGAAACCTAGCTAAGTCTGAATGAAAAATTAGAGGAGTTAAATGCAAAAGTATATTGGTTATACCAATTATTAACATATAGCAACTAAGATGGTCAAGTCTTAGTAACTATTTTGCCTTTTTTTAAATTAAAAACATCGATTTTTTTTACCAGTCCTGGTCTTGGTCTTGCAGCTGTTAGGTGGGCTTGGTTTTGGTCTTACAAAATGCAAGACCAAGACCGATTTTGGGCAAGACTAATTAGACCACATTGAAAAAAAAAAAAGGTGGTCTACAAAAATATTTGGCGTGACTTCCTCCACCAACATGTCAAAATAAGAAGATTCTAAACGGCCCAATATATTTGTAGACCATTTTTTTTTATCAAATTATCTTGCGATTCAAGTATAAAGCACAATGGTATTAATAAAATTTTAGTACCTCATTAAATTAAATAAAAACGCCTCATTTCTGAGAATTGATCGTAAACAAAAAAGTTGTAGGTTTCGATAAGACTACTTTGATTGAAGTTAATAATTTGATAAAAAAGGTTGAGTACCGCGTACTATATCTATTACACCTATTGTATATATATATATATATATATATATCTGCGCCCAATATTGTTCATTGTATCAGTGACCATATGGCGCACCGCTTGCGTCAGAGTTGGCGTCTCCTGTTGACTTTTTTTTGAGCACGATAACCGCCATCTTTACTTGTTTTTCTTTTGTTAGTCCCCTGTCATCACTCCCTCATGATGAAGCTAGTTTATAATCTTCAACTACTTATTCCTCTCAATAAATAAATCAATACTTAAAAAACTGTTACGCTTATAAAAAAATAATAAAACATTTTTAACCTCTTGTGTAGTAACCAAATGGAGGTGTTGGATAATGAGATATACAAACTACATGGTATAATAGTTGAGCTATAAATCTTAATTTAATTATGATTTTGTTTCATTTTCATAAATAACTTCTTTCATTCAGTCTGTTCAAAGTTTCTAATCTTTGAATGCTCGTGTATATATATATATATATATATATATATACACGAGCATTCAAAGATTGTTTATATATATATATATATATATATATAAATTAATACTTATAATTTTCCGCACATAAAAAAAAAAAAAAATACACAAATTTAGATTCTTGTACCATATAATGTAATACACATTTTCATTCTTTTGTAATTTTTGTATTTATTTATTGTAACCACATGGAAGAGGAGTTAGCTCATTATTTATATCTCATGATACAGACAAGAGCTATAAATTTGCGTTTTACTTATGATTTTGTATTTAAAAATGTAAATAATTTAATTACCTAAATCAAAAGAAAAATTAAACACAAAAGTAAATAAACTCCTTCACCAATGCAGTCGATTCCAAGTTTCTAATCTTCAATTAGTTATATCCACTAGCGGTTCCAGGATTTAATTTTGGAGGGCTTCAGTCCGAAAAAAATTTTTTTTCAAATATATAGCGATAATTAATTAAAAACAAAAAAAGAACTAAACTACCTATATGAAATTGTGTTTAAGTGATTCATGAAGTCCTATTAAATGTAATTACACGAACAATAATACTTTAAGAGATAGTTTTTAATATTTTTTTATTTTAACGTTTTGGGAGGGGGGCTCATCCCGAAAGCTCCCCTCCGTAGATCCGCTCGTGGTTATATCTCAATATATAAATTAATAATTATACTTTCCCGTTAAAAAAAATATAATTAAATATTGTATATACTTTTTACAAATAATAAACATTTACCTCATCTCCCACAGTAAACATATGGAAGAGGAGCAACCTCATCATTTAGAGTTATGTATTATAGAAATGTAAATAGTTTATATAACTAAATTGAAAGAAAAACAAAAAAAATAATGCAAACAAATAAAACATATTTAGGAAATACAATAAAAAGAATTTCTATTTGTATGAATATAATACAAAATTGTTGATATAATATATATGTACATGTACATATGACTACAATAATATTTTTTTTAAATATTCAATTTATTGAATAATAATACAATCTAACACATTGTAGAATAAAGTATTAGGGTTATAAATGTTATTCATAGAATACTACTAAAAAATAAAATAATAATAATCAATAAAATTTAATAATGTATAATAATCACAAAGAAATGATAACAAAATAGATAACAAAAAATATATTTGAAGTTTGAATAAAAATAAAAGAAATCTTCTAAAAACATAATGATACCTATGAATTGGAAAATAAAAAAAGAAATATAACAAAATTAAAATAAATTAAACAATGGAGACTCAATATAAACAATGGTCTTATACACTTACATATATGTATGTTTTTATTTCATACAAATCAATAAAATGCAGAACTTTGGGGGTGTAGCCTTGTTAATAGAATTTTTTTTATTTAAAATTTAAAATTATTTATGTTTTAAACAAAAAATAAAAAACACAAACAATACATTATATTTTAAATTATACACTTTACTGTCACATTTTGAAATATTTTGTTCGCTGTTGTTTTTCAAAGGGGTTAGAAAATACGAGAATGATTGAAAACACTAATAAACAATACAAATAATAGTATATATAACTAATAATTTTGTATTACTGATTAGGTGGTTGCGGTAGACGTAGACATATGTATGTGTTTATAAATTTGTATATATTTGCATACACACACATGTACAACCATTAACTTGACATATTGAGTTGAATCCATCAATATGAAACCTCTTTTATTCTTATAGTCAGATAAATCTTTATTACTATTTGATTATAAAATATTTGGAAACATTTGAAATTATTTTTAATTTTAAATAATTTATTAATATATAAGTATTAGTGACATTGATTAATTAATAACGGCACACTTGAACATGTCTCGTTTGATATATGATTGTATTTAAAATGATGTTTCTGTCAGATCAATTGTTAATTCATTAATTTTATTTTATTAATAGTAATTTACTATATAGCTAATAACCTATCAGCATTTAACTATAACAATAACACATAACACATTTATATCAAAAACATCCATAATTATATCAATATTACATTATATTAATTTATACTAAGTATATATAAGAAATAACTAGCAATATCATAAATAATATCATTTATCTATTAAAGTTTGGATTCAATAAACATTTAGAAAAAATACGATTGATAAATTTAACTTAAATAAATAAACAGGCCTAAGTCTATAATTATATATATAAACAGTTATGTTCTACTATATAATAAATAAACATATTGAAAGAATTATTATAAACATATTAAATAATTACTGTTTTGATATTAATTTTGAAGGATACAAGATGTTTTAAATGAATCTGGACTACCTTTTACACCAAGACTTGATTTATTTAAATATTTATAAGAAAAATTGTTCACAACTGTAAAAGGTTTATTTTTATTAGGTCCAAAATTAATAAATATAAGTTCAATTGCTAAGAATGTAAGAATTTACCGAATGGTTTTTAGAAAAAATAAAAAAAAATCTGGTCGCATAAACATAATACATCAAAGAGATCAAATTATATATGTTTAATGTTTGCTATTTATTAAATAAGTCAATTTAATTTTAAACTGTAATATAAATATTTCTATTGTTTTTATAAAACAATAATTTATAAATATTTTCATTTAAAATAACTAAAATAAAATGACTTTTATACTAATATTATACAATCATTTTCAAATACTTAATATGGGTATTTTGTTACTTTCACATCATTAAAATTTCTTATGGTAAATTAAAATTTATACTTTTTAATAATATTTTATTTTTTAATATTTACTTATTTTTTATTATTATAATATTTTTTCATGTCAAGTAAGCAATATTTTTTTTCATGATAATCGGGAATAATAATAATTACCTATTAAATTTAGGTTTTAATTTTTAATTTTGAAATTGATATGAATACGTAGTATAGATTAATATAATCCAGAAATATGTGTGGAGTAACAATAATAATCATAATTTTAAATAAATAAAGAAGTTAATAGTAAATAAATACAAAATTTAAGAAACACCACATTTTTAAATACGATTACAGATGAATTGAAAAAAAAAGAAGGCAAAATTCATTTTTAGGTAAAATAATTCAACCGAAAACATTTTAAATATTTTACTATTTTTTTTCTTTACTTTTTATATGACTTTTCACGTTTTTAAATTTAAATCAATACAAATATGATCCATTGAGAAAAAAAAAGAGGATTTTATTAATTACAATTCACGCTTTAACGATTATGATTTCAATTTCATTATAAATATAGATTTTATGTATTATTATTTACTTTTTAAAATGTACAATTAAACTAGATGACTAAACATACAAAACAATCTAATTTT